ATCGCGCGGCGGAGTGGCGGCGACGGAGAAGGAGCGGGGAAAAGATTGGGAATGGGGCGGTGGTTGGTGGTGAGGCTTGGGGAACATGGCTGAGGGTTAGGCTCTCTGGATTTAGATTATGCGAACAACCATTCTGCATGAATTTTCTTTTTGTTTTTTTTTCAAACAAATTTATATTATTTATATTATATATAATATTTATATTGGGAGAGAGAAAGGGTATGTAGAATGTTCCGGGGAACGGGAAAGAAATTGCTAATTATTTATTTATTTTATTGATACAATGGCAGCCGAGTATTAAATTTGTATCGATACTTTTATCGACATTTTCAATGGTCTACGATGGTGAATCATATTTTTATAATATTGCTAAAAATATAAATATAACAATATATCAATTAATTATTTTAACTAATTTTTAAAATTGTTAATTTAAATATATGTTATCAATTTTTATTTTTATAATCTTTTAAAAAATATCTATTCATGTCGATATTTTCATAGACACGCTCTATTGAGTATAATTTATTTTAATTTTTATGTGTTAAATTTCATATTTTGATTTAGTATCTTTCTATTTACCTTTTTTAGTTATCAAATTTTAGCTGTCATAGAAAACAGGTTATAGAATAATACTGGAAAATTTGCTAGAAAAATAAGTATAATTTTCTAAACTAATTAGGCATCAACAAGTTTTATTCCCGTTTGAAATAAATAATTAAGAATAAAATTTGGGCAACTTGTAAGGATAGACTTTGAAAGTATTAGATTTTGTTTTCTGATAATAAATAAATTTAACTTGTCTATTAGTGAGTAAAGTTTATCCTTTGAATGTGAATAGAATTATATTGAATGAACTTATCTATAAACTTTATAGTTGGTTTATATTGAAAAGTCATCTATTTACTTTTTATTGAAAAAAGAATGCTTGCAAATAAAATAAGAAAACGACTAATTATAAAATTGATTATCTGAACACATACTAACAATTTATTTATACTCCGTAAATATAAATAGAAGATTACTTTTCTATTTTACCTTAAATAAATCAAAATTTTTACAAGATAAAAACAAACAAAATAACTCATATTAGGAAAAAAAAACAACCAAAACATTAGTAAACAAAATATTTGTATAAAACTTTTTAAACGAATAATTTTCTGTTTATAAAAAATAAAAAGATAAAGGTAATTGGATGCGGTGATTATGTCAATTTAATTTATTTTACCACTCCAAACAGAATCATTTATATAATAACAGTAATATCTCACATCTAGAATTCTTTTTCTTTTTCAAAATCCATAATTGTAAAGATAATGATTATCGTGCTTAAAATTTAAAAGTAATTTTTTTTTTTACTTTATCTTTTACCTCAACTTTAGAAGCATTATTTTTAAAAACATGAATTTAAAATAGCAACAAAAAAAAAGTTATTAACATAACAAAAATTAAATTAACTTGGGATTTGTTATTTAAAAAAAACAAATTGAGAGAGAAAATATTAATATTGGAATATGGATGATGACAATCCTAGTACTATTTCCATAAATGGAAGATTTGATATCCACTTCCCCACTTTCCAGACATCTGGATTTTGGACAGACTTCTTTAATTTATTTATTTTATTAATTAATTTATGGTGGACATGGCCTCTCCCTCTCTCTCTCATTGTCCATATGATTCTATTGGCTTAGAACTTACTTCCATTTTGTCGGACTATATGATTAAGAAAATGTTTTATTTTTTTCAAGTTAAAATTGTTATTTCTCAATCTCAAATATTTGTCATTTTCGTAATTTATAATTTCAGTTTTCAATCCCATTAAGAAATATTTTCTCCAAGTGTGTAAGAAATGAGCATACGAGGCAATAAAATCCCAAATGAAACGGTGGTCCATTGTTATATATGTTGAATAGACACAAAGCACGACAAAACAAAGACAAATTTTCTCGATAACCACTTGAATTCTATAGGAAATCAAGATTCTCTCTCATGTGAATTACTTTGAAAGTAATGAAAATCGAGGAAGAAAAAAGGGGGGAAAAAGCTCCCCACAAAGTTTATCATCTAATATAAAGGGTAACATCAAAAGTTTCAATCTATATAACCACCCTAAGTTGGTCTCGTGATCAATTAGGGCCAGTGAAAAAATAAATGACTCCAAAATGGAATGAGTTCTCAACTATGATAATCACCTACTTAAGATTTAACGAGTTTTCTTGGTAACTAAATATAGTAAAAGTTGCATGGGTTTAGACGTGTAGTATGCATAAACCGACCCAGACACTCAGTAATTCAATTTTCATACGGTTAAATTGAAAAAATTCAAATATAATTAACAAATTTAGATTGCAGGGATACAAAAAATGTAGAATGTCAAACAGAAGAGAGAGGGAGAGGAGAGACCCACACCCATGACTTTGTTTTTTTGTCCTCTTGCCAAAGCCATGTGAGTGAATGGGTGGAATAATGAAATGTGAAATTTGATCTTCTGGAAGGCAATAAGGATTTTGAAGTAACATGACTCACTAAATACACCCACCATCATCCCTCCCCACTTCA